CTTCGCCACGGCTGAAATACGAGGCGACGCGAGAATCGAATTCAGCGGGACCCACGTACGCACGCACACACCCTTCGCGCTCATTCGATTTCGCTCGAGCTCTTTTCGGAAATCGTGTGCTCGGCGCTCGGTGCTGGATACACTATTTGCCTCGGAGGAACGCTTTGTCATTCGACTCGGCGAATACACTGCGTAGGTTCAAAGGGAGCTGGTGCGTAGTGGGGGTTTTTATATTCTACAAGGCTCTCCTCGCTCTCCTCGCTCTCCTCTCTCTCTCTCTCTCTCTCTCTCTCTCTCTCGCAAACACACACGCACACACAAACGCACACACAAACACGCACACACAAACACGCACAAACCATCCTCCCCGTCCCCCCACAACCCACCCCCTCCCGGTCTATCACTCTCTCGCTCCGTATGTTGTTATTTTGCTCTTCTTTTTGTTTCGATAAATACATTTGTGCGCGCTCGCGCGCTTATATATGAAGTTCCCGAGCGCCTGAATTTCAATGGACTCTATTGAGCTACTTTCCGTGTGATGTATGCGAGCCTGGCCGTGGCGTGGAGATCGTCTCGAGCAGTTTTGTTTCTCATTGATCAATTGATACTTCTTTTCTCCGTGCTCTCGACGCGCCGAGGGTGAGATTCTTTACTTTGTTTTCATCCTCGCTCTCTCCTTTTTTTCTTCATATTGCCATCGGAATACTTTTCTCATTGAATGCAGCTCGGGTTGTGTCCAAGAGCTCCCTTTCATTTATTTCGCCGGGGTGATAAAGTTCTTTTTTACAATGGAAATAACTGTTTTCTTTATTTCGTTTTTAATTCTCTCAAAGACCGAGGCCAAATGACGTTGATAAATATTGAGCTATATTTATGAAATAAAATTACATTGTTATCGCTCGGCAGATCTATTATTCGTGACGCTTTTTAAAATTCGTAATATATGCGTCGCGATTTCGATACGCATAGAATTAGTATTTATCGAGGGCCGGATATTCTGTGCAAAGGATTTTCGGGCATAAACGCCGACGCGGTACGCAAGTTTGTGCGTATAAGAAATAGACCGCTGGTGAAACCGATGAAAAATATTAGAAGCTCGTCCTTGCGTGGCCCGAGCTTGTAATCTGTATCGAGTAAATCGTTCAATTACGGTAAGTGAAGGAAATTACGTTCACGCGGCAAATATAATATTACGCACTTCATTGGCTTTCAATTTACTAATGCAGGAAACGTTGGGTCGATCGATCGACGCTTGATGTCGGCTGACGCTTGTCCTTACTTACTCCTCTATCTTCCTCGTGTAATCTTCCACACGAAAGGAACCAATTAGCAAATAAACAAGCGTAAAACGACGGCAAACTCGTGCATTTTCAATTCAACTGTTAAAATCTATTTATGAAAGCCATTGTAAGACAACAAAGACGCGTATTGAAACAAATTGTACCCTTAATATCATACAATTACTTTCACCGAAAAAATATCCTTTTATATTCTTCCACGATTCCATTCTCTCTCCCACCCTCGCCTCTTCCACATTGCAACTCTATTCATATCCTTTAACCATTCTCCGTTTCTTTCCCTTTACCGCTCCGCGCCTTTCCCTTATTTCCTTCATCGACTGAAGGCGGTGGCCGACATCAACGCTGGTGAATCTCATGATCGATGCGAAATGACCCTTAGCCAAAGTCCATCCAGAGTTAAGAATTCAAGACTCCCTCCCTTCGCCCACCCCACCCACCCCCCAACCACCATCATTCACTCGACCCCACCCCCGGTCTGCTCAACCGCCGACCCATTCTTTCTCCTCGTAAACGAGATTATGTGCATACCAAAAAGCATCTTGAGGCAGATTAATTAAATAGTTACCGAGAATACTGAACAATTTGTAGAAACTCGTTAATGTGAAACCAAGTGAGAAAACCACCTCTTTGTTACGCTACAAAGAAACTTTGTGAAGTGTTGGAAAAGGAAGCTGCATCGATAAGTAATAGAAATTTGGATTTAGTGCCATTATGAAGGCATTTACCTTTCACCACACTTCGCTTTCCAATAAATATTCCATGTTTCCCTTCGCTTTCTTTCTTTCACTTGTTTTTTTTTCATTAATCGTTATTTAATTCCAAGTAGCAATAAATTTGACATTATCATAGTTATCATCAATTACACAATAAGAACTTGAATAAAAAAAAAAAAAAAAAAAAAAAAAAAAAAAAAAAAATGAAAGAAGAAAAAAAGGAAATTAAAAAAGTTAAGTTCCCAACATTTTATGATAAATTACCGACTTTTACGCATGATAAAAGATTCTAAAGTGGATTTGCGAATTCTCTCATATTTTTCCCTGAAACGTCATTTTATATGTTATAAATTATTCATCGTCAAACACTTTCAACCCACTATTCAACATATTTAAATTTTCATTCAATACCCGTTATTTCTAACTTTAAACGGACTCTCAAGTACAACACCGCGTCAATAAATAAAGCGCAGACTGTAACGTTCTAAATTTAAATATTTATTCCCAACATAAGATTAATAAAATTCGACAACGTATAAATTTCGCTTTACATATTGCACGTAAATGAAAATTGTAATTGCCAGTTCGAAGTTGGTTTTCTAAGACAGCCTAACCTCACGATGATACGCGCATGTACATACACGTATATACACGTGTATATACATCGGCGGATTTATGGGCCGATAAACTCCCGCAAACCATTATACCTCGTACAGTGTTTAAGTAAGATAACAACCGTGGAGGGATAATTCGCTACTCCCTCCCCTACGCTCTTGGTGCATTCGCTTGTGTACTATCTCGAGGATGACTATACCGTATTCTCTCGCGGCATTTCTAAAAATTCGGCTTTTTTCAGACTTGAGACACAGCGGGACTCGGTTGTGGCCAGCCGATTTACTCGTTTTACTTGTCTATTAAGGTGGCGTAATTGATACATATATATATATATATATATATATATATATATATATATATATATATATATATATATATTATAACCGTTAAAATAATACCTTAATAATGAACTTTATAATAAAATCATAAAATAAAAAGCACCTTTTTATGGTAAGTACTTTGTTACTTATGTCACGTTATTCCAAATGGTAAGTATTTCTCGCGGACGCATTTTATTACGCGTAATTCTAGCAAACCTTTTCGTAACAAATGACGAGAGAAACAATTTTTTCCAAGTTTTTTTTATTTCTTTGTTTACTTTTTCGTTGTTTGTTTACGTGAATCGTGAGGGTTGTACAATCCTATTGAAAATCATTTATCATATCACAGTTACAGTCGAACGAAAGAGATTAATTAAATACGAAACGGAACGAACTCACTGACTCCAGTCAAGAGTTCAAATATTAATGTGTGCGTGTGTGCGCGCGTGTATGCTGATCAAATCAAATGCCACTTTGCAACCTAATATGTAAAATCATAGCTCACTTCCACTAATACCTCTACTTCCAATTACAATACATCATCGTATGAAATATTTCATACCGCATTCGTGTATTTATCAACTGTATCATATAAGCAATTAAGAAAGTATGCTACTGCGTAAAAGGAAACAGCATCCATCTAGGGTGGTGTATGATCGATTATTTAATTTAAAAAAAAAAAAAAAAAAAAAAAAAAAAAAAAAAAAAAAACAGAAGATGCATTATCATATGCGTAAACGCACGCACTTGTACACCACAAGTAAATTAAATGTAAGAACATAAATTGAAAAAAAAAAGAAAAAGAAAAAAAGAAAACACGTTGTTTACAACCGCAAGTTTTTTCATCATATAAATATTGTTATGCATATATAACAAAATTATATATATTATTTATATAA